GTCAGAAGCAGTTTCCAATTGTCCTTATCGTCTCCGTAGGATAAAAAAACCTCGTCTCCCGCCGAGATGGAATCTGAGGTTGACAGCAGCCATTTCGATTCCGAAATGCCTTCGCCGGCGACGAGTTGTAGCTGCGTTCCAACCCCAAACTTGTGGTTCAGAAGATCGAGACCCGGAATCAATGCCAGTGGCATACGATCGCTTTTTCCACTATCATCGTCGTTCAATTCTGGCACCGCCAACGATCTCGAACGAACCATGGAAAAGGCCCAAAGCGCGTCTTCGACCGTGAATTTGTGATCGGCTGCCGCCGCCGTTTCCGTAGCAAATCTATTGACACGCTGGCGCGTCGCATCAAAGGTCTCCAAATAGCACCTCGGCAAGACGGCCGAAGTCTCCATCCAGAGATCACGGGACATTGTCCATGCATTGAAATGTTTTTTTGGCAAGACGTTAGATACATAAGGATCCAATGCATCGTACTTCAATCGAAGCAACCCGATTGCCAGTCCTTCCTCCTCGTCCTCGTGTGGTCTGTTGTCGTCTCGTTTCGTTTCACAAGACGCTGTCAGGCGGGAACGGATCCGTTCTACCGTGATGATCTCTTCCGAGGGAATTGCAAGCAAAATTTCTCCCGGTGATCGATCTACCAAGGAACGAACGTTTCGATCGCCATTCTTACCGTCTTCGAGTTTTAGTCCAAACGCATCTAGATATCTTCCTTCGGGGGTCGTATCGGCACCTGCCCCTGCTCTCTCCGATATCTTCCTTCCAAAGCCTTTGCCGCTGCTGCCGTTGCCATTTTTCTGCTGTGCATGAGATGGAGTAAAACAAGCAACTAGTACCGCAATCAGCGAGAAGAAAACAAGGTAAAACTTGAGTGGCCGCTGAACTTGGACAACCTTTGTTCTCATCAGGACAGCTTTAATCATCCGTACCGTACGTTACGGGATGCAAAGTCTAGTGCTGTCTAGTGTTGTGATTTCCGATGATGCCCCCTCCCCAAAAATAATACTGACGCCAGAATGAGTAACTCGTACGATACCATGCGAGTTTTTCAACTATGCAATATTGAGAATTTGACTGAGTTGATGCCAACCAAAGTAAAAGTGCTTTAAAATAGACGGCATTTGTTCCCTTCTTCTGATTTTAAAATACGGTACAGTAAAATTGAATGGTAATCAGCGATCGTTGACTCGTTGACTCGTTGACACAATATTTTTGGCTACGACTACATACGTACCGTATGTACCACTCTTACCATTGCCGGTACCGGACTGAGAAGTGTTTTGTGAGTCGAACCATGTCGGTGCAATCGGAACTTCCGTATTCTGTGAAGGAAGCTCTAAAACCAAAAGAACAAAGATAGTATGGAAAAATCAAACATCTGTATTCAAAAATGTACGATAATTTCGGCCGAAGTGCCCACGCTATACGATACGATAATATCTGGAATCACTCATTGTTCCTTCTTACTATGTATTACGTCACACCGAAGTGTTCTACTACGAGCTAATCATACGATCACACGATCACTCTTCGAATGGCCCCTAAGTCCCCGGGGATGGCGTCAGAGAAAAACCGAACACGTTTAAGCCATAAAACTGCGCGTTTTTTTGGTGATTATAACCTGTCTCATATTCGATCCACACATTAGGTTTCGTTCCTCGTACTACCAAATCCTACATTCGCTACAAAATTTAATGCATTTACTAGTATGGAAGTTAAGCAATCTTTGTTTTCCTTCTCGCCTCAGTTCATTTTCTGACGCAATTCGATATTGTTGAGAACAGATATTGCCAAAGAGATAGCTCTCTGGTACTCATTTTGGTTTGCGAATCATCTTTTACAATCAAACATGCAAGAGACCATCAAGGTATTGTTCTTTCCATGGGCAGGAGGCACATCCCGTGTTTACCAAAGCCTTTGCGAGGAAACACGAAAACATCTCGTCCGTGAGGAGTCATCCGTGTCATCCCTCGTTGGACCCCAACCTTACGATGCTTTAACCTACTTCAAGGATCTCAAACCTATTCTCTCCCAATTCAACGTCGAATTCCTTGCCATCGATCTACCAGGTCGTCTTATTCGTCCAAAYCCAGAAAGTCAAGAAATTCTTTCAGATTTTGCAAGTTTGAGTCGTGTCTTGATTCATGAAATCTTTCTTGATGCAGCCGACGGTGATGCGAACCAACAAAATACTGTCAAGAAGGGCGAAAGTTATGTTTTGTTCGGCCATTCCTTTGGAGCCATGCTGGCATTTGAGATTGCGAAACAAGTTGGAACTTACGGCCTTCCTCCTCCTCTCGCTCTGTTTGTTTCGGCATCTAGACCCCCGAGTGCCGTGTCTCTCACCTCTTCGAAAWCCAAACCTGTCTCGTCTATGAATTTTGAAGAGATGAGGGCTTATTTTGTTTCGAGGGGGTCCAATGCTACTTTTTTCGATACTGTGAGGGAGAACGAGGAATTCAAGAATCTATTCATGAAAAGCGTCCAGGCTGATTATACATGTCTCGAAACGTATGAGTCCAATGAAGATCAGATTGACTGTCCATTGATCGCCATTGGTTCTGAAAAGGATTGTATTGTCAGCGTGAAGGATACGGACGGGTGGAAGAAGCACGCAGCAAATTCGTTTGATAGTTTGATTCTGAAAGATAAGGGACATTTTTATCTTGATGATCTAGAAGCAGTAGTCGCTTTAGCTGAATCCATCAGCTTGAATGTCGGCAAGGTAAGCACTGTATCCATATGTTGATATGTCGAATTACTGCATGTTTATGAACAACAACTAAAATTCATTTTTACAGACACTATCGACAACTCTACAAGAAGAAATCGGGGTTATCACGAATATCTACTCGAAGGTCCTTCGTATCGATGCCGATTTGCTTCGTTTGGAATCCGATTTCTTTGAAATTGGGGGGACCTCACTTGACACCATTGCTCTGATTTCTCAGATCAAAGCGCACATTGGGATTCATATCCCACAAAATGAGTTCTTTTTGAATCCCAAGATTGTCCAACTTGCAATTCGTGCACGTACAATCAAAAACACTTCATTCGTGGCACCTGAGCTGGTTGCAGTCAAAAGCTCTGTCACTGGTGAACAATGGTTTCCTGCTTCTCCAGGCCAAGAGCAGATGTTTAGTTGCTGGGAAATGGCACCTGTAGTCTACAAGTACGTGGTGTATCTTTGTTTTCAGACACTGTTGAGCGTACATTTTCATCTCACCTTTCTCGATTTTGCTATCATATAGTATGCCAACTACGATCGAGTTTGTGAATTCTGCAGTAGATATCGAACGCCTTAGAGAGGCATTCTATCATGTTGTCAAGCAACAACCTTCCTTGCGAACCATTGTAGCGATTGATTCSAAGACAAATGCGGTTATGCAGAGAGTCTTACCTCTATCGCAGGCAGGCGAATGCTTCAAGTTGGATATTTTGAAAGCGGGGGACATAGATGAGGCAAAATCCATGGTGGAGAAGGAAAGTCTATATAAATTTGATCTTTCTAATCCACCTATTGTTCGTGGAGTCCTTGTTGAGATCGAGAACAGCCTTGTATCATATTTCCTCTTGAACCAACATCATGTAAGTAGCAAGTCGAAAATACGTTTCATAATTCTATGCTACGTTTTACTYAATCTCCGTTTTTATGAATTCTTTGACAGGTTGGGTCAGATGGATGGTCTCGTACCCAGCTAAGAAGACAACTTTTGCAAGCTTACACCGAATTATGTTCGAATCAAGAAGTTTCTTCCGATCTCACGATTCCTCCTCATCCAAACTATGTTGATTGGACACTATATTTGGGGAAATGGCTTCATCATTATGGACAACAAGAAAGCCAACTAGAGTACTGGAAAGACAAGCTTGCAGGTTTGACTGTATTGAATTTACCAACAGACAAGCCACGTCCAGCCATTTTAAGTTCTCGAGGTGTACGTATCCCTGTTTTCATGGATCGTGAGCTCACAGAACAATTCTCTCTTTTTGTATCTGAAAAAGGTGCAAATTTATATGCTGGCCTTATTGCTGCATATATGTTAATGTTGCACCGAATTGGAGGTGGAGATGATTTTGCAATTGGTATAGCTCTAGCTAATCGTCATCACGAAGGAATGCAAAACTTGATTGGGTATTTTGCCAAGTAAGTACCCTGSATGTGCACTCCAACGAATTCTGTCTCGTTCACTCGATTGTGCATTTTRCTAACATCTGTTTATAGTGAGGTTGCAATTAGAGCTAACTTCGATGAAAAGATGTCATTCGTCGACCTGTTGCAAATGATAAGAACAAACATTCTTGAGGGGATGGCGAACGCAGACGTTCCTTTTCACAAAGTGACCGAAGAATTAAAGGTGAAAAGAGACAGCAGCAGAACACCTGTATTCCAAGCCATGTTTGCCTTGCAAGAACGTGCCTGGCACAGTTTGGATGACCTCTGTCCTAAGTCTGGTGACATTTGCTTTCAATTGAAGAATCAGAATCATAATACTTCCAAGTTTGAGGTACATCTTCAGCTTCGACATGACGGGAACGGGGCTCTTGAAGGAGATCTCCACATTGCAACTGACCTATTCCAACCCAAGAGTGGGGAAAGGATGGCTGAAATGTTTGTCAACCTTGTACGGTCYTGTACAGAATGTCCATTAAAAACCATTCGATCCCATAGTATTATGACCGAGAGTGATGCAGAGTTGATCGAGAGATGCAATGGTACGAGCAGAACCTACGAGAAAACGTCCATTGTTGACTTTCAACATTCTTCTCCCGATGATGTAGCTCTAGTAGTGGACGGCTCTTGTGTTCAAGAGGTGACATTCCAAGAGTTCCAGGGTTTTATTTCGAATGTGTCTTCCTTTCTCTTACATCATGAGTCCCTGCGGCATCAAGAAAGAGTCGGACTTCTGATCAAAAGTTCTGCAAATGCCATGGCAGTAATATATGGTATTATCAATATTGCCTGTGCAATCGTGGTTTTAGATCCAGAGAAGACGCCGATTGACCGCTGTAAGATGATATTTGATGACGCCAATGCCAATGTCGTCATAGTCGATGATGAGTACCATAGTGCCTTCCAAGAGCTTGCGAGTGATGTGATAGGGCGAAAGTTATGCCTCATTTCTGAGGTTGTTTCTTTTAATTCTTCGGATTCCAGTACGGCGAAGGTGGAGGCTCTTCCAGAGGACATTTTTGGGATTTTCTATACTTCTGGTACAACGGGTACCCCCAAAGGTGTTGTGATAAAACACTCAAATGTACTCAATCTTGTCTGTTGGTGGAAGGAGTTCTTTGACGTTACGCACAAGGATTCAATTCTCCTCTTCTCGTCTTTGAGTTTTATCATGAGCCTTCGTCAATACATTCCAACATTGCATGCAGGAGCAACTGTCGTGATACCAGAGACTGCACTGGATTTTGAGTCTGCCATAGTAGCAGGTAAGGTGAACAAGTTGGTATGCACTCCTTCCGCTCTTGCAGCTCTGGATATGGAAAGGGTTGCAAATAGGATTGAGGCCATTCAGCTGGCTGGGGAGGCACCAAGGAAGAATACTCTGGATGTATGGAGCACAAAGGTCTCTAAAGTCTTTATCGGACTTGGGCCGACCGAATTATGCGCGCATGCTGTCTGTTCCCAATACGATGGTGAGACTTTATGTATTGGCTATCCTGCAGCAAATGTAAAACTATACATTGTAGATCCGAATACTGGTTTACAATGTCCTGTGAATGTACCTGGGGAGCTATGGATCGCAGGAGAGAATGTATCGTTTGGATACTTGAATAGAGAAGAGGCAACAAAGAAATCCTTTGGATATGATAATTTCAGTGGATCGTCGGATAGATTGTACAAGACAGGTGAGTATTCCTTCTTTCTGTCTACATATTCTATTTTCAAAACATACCTCTCACACTTGGCTTAAAAACGGATCTTACTAGGTGACTTGGCGAAGAGGCTTCCTTGTGGAAGGATTCAGTTCATCGGTAGAAATGACCAACAGATCAAAGTAAATGGATTTCGAATGGAGGCGGGAGAAATTTACAATGCCATGCCAAAAACTGTTGAAAAGTCACATGTTATGGTTCAGAACAATGCTTTGACGCTGTTTGCTAGTCCGACTTCCATAAATGTAAATGAATTGAAGTCGCACTTACTCAAAATACTTCCGACATACATGGTACCTACAGTCATTCATACCCTCGACGATTTCCCCTTGAACAAGAACAGGAAGCTAGATGTACAATCACTGTTGTTAATGGTGGGTACGAGTCAGCCAGAGGAAGAGGAGGCGCAGGAAGATGCCGATTTTGGTCTATCCAATCGCACCGAGACTACTCTGAAGCTGATATGGTGTCARATTTTGAATAAGGACGTCAAAAGCATTGGAAAAGACGATAACTTCTTCTCGCTCGGAGGTACWTCTCTTTCTGCAGTGGTCGTCAGCAGGATGATCAATCAAGAACTTCAAATGGAATTGTCCGTCCATGATGTATTCATTCACCAAACGATTCATTCTTTAGCCCAAYTTATCAGAGAAAAGGAGAAGAACGTTGAAGACTCTACATCGGATCCCCACCCATTGCATTTCCTTCCCGGTGGAAGGTGCGAGCTCCATCCGCTTCTTTTCGCGTTCCTTCAGCTTATCGGATTGATTCTGATGTCCATCATAGCTACGGTCCCAATCATTGCAACTGTGTCTTTATCTGTGAGGTCTTTCATCTGGTTTGGTGATCTGGGGGCAGTGTTGTTTCCTCTATGTTTAGTTGGGGGCTGTCTTTTTCACTGTACCTTGGTGATACTTTGCAAGTGGATTGTTGTTGGTAGATACAAGCCTGGAAAAGCAAAGACGTTCAGTTTCTACTTYTTGAGATGGTGGCTAGTGAGGTAAGACGTTTGTAACTGTAACTGCGAATCCCTTTCTATCAATAACCAACATGCATTCTCACTATAACTGCAGGAGGGTCCTGCAAGTAACTCGTCTTTACACATGGATTTTAGACGAGACGCCTTTGTCTGGAATCATACTGCGCTTCTTAGGCGCATCTATAGGGAGTAATGTCTCAGTAGAGCAGCCCTTTCTATTCGAGCCCGATCTATGTAAGATAGGCGATAATACTGTCATTGAGTTCGAGACTCAATTCTGTACGTCCGAAATTAAATCTGGGTACCTTGAATTAAGAGGAGTGACCATAGAAGACAACGTGAAGATTGGTGTTCGTTCAATTCTTTTGGGAGGTGCACACATTCACAGAAATAGTCAAGTCGTTGCAAAAACAACAGTTGACTACTGTACGTCAACGACAAGGGAAGGGCAGACACTGGTGGGTTCTCCTGCTGTCCTCGACTCTTCTGCGGAACACGTCCCACCTCGGAAGACTAGCGAGTGCTCTACGCCAAAAAAGTGGAGGCCACAGCGAGGTAATGGATATTTGTTCTGCCAAATGGTTGCAGCTTTAACAATCATTGAGGTGATGACAGCTATTGCCTATGTAGGATCACTCATTGGCGGGTATGTAAATGAAAGGTTTGGTTCCATCGGACTTGTTGTGTTCCTAGGGTCGGCTTTTCAAATAATTTGCTGCTTCATGTGGCTATGCGTCGTTGCCCTGTTACGCCGTCTACTGATACCTGACTTAGAATGTGGGAAGCTCTATTCTTCATCATGGTTTGCATTAAGAAAGTGGTTTCTGGATAGAATATTTCTCAGTCCACTCTTCATATATGCAAGTCAGCGAGTACTGCAAACATCAAGTACTTTTCCGTGGTACCTCAAACTTCTCGGTGCTAAAGTTGGAAAAAAAGCATGGATCAATCACCCGATTGTGCGAGTTGGGGTAGAGCATATTACTATTGGGGATGATTTCCATATYGGGTAAGGGTGGAAAATGTGGAATCTTCAGATGACATCTCGATCTCTTTTACTTGTTTYCAGTCTAATCATTTCCCTTTCAGAATGCATGCATATTTCAGTACGGAAAGACAGGAAAGCGATGGAGTGTGGTTTGATCGTATGCAAGTTGGCAACTATTCTTCGTTTGGTCAACGCAGTGTGGCCTTGGGTGGAACAACGGTTGGATCATATGTGACGATCGGAGCAGAAACAGTGCTACCCTTTGACTTTACTGCTGAAGAGGGTTCGACTGCATTCGGATCTCCTCCAATGAAGTTTACGTCAACGGCTCTTTTCAAGGATATTGTGACGCAGTCTCAGTGCTATGCTAAAGAATTCCTTTTGGACCATACTCACGAAGGAAAATGCGACGAAACTGAGTTAGTGGCCAAGAGGATTGGTGAGGAAGGAGAGACAAGTGGCTCATCATGTGATGAAAATGCTCCAAGTAGAATGCAGGACATCGGGACAGGTAAATTCTTTTGGCTCTACATCACGACAATGATTCTGATACAGGGATGTCTTCCACTTGTCATAGGAGGTGCTTATGGGAGCATATACTACTTGCTGACGACTTGGCTAGGTCAGCTGAGGTTTGAATATCTTCTTGCAACTGTACCGTTCATTTACATCGTCGGGTCAGTTGTCTGTAAGTGAAATTATTGTTCATAACTTTTGACATTGATTCTGTCATTGGCTACTTCCGTGCTCACTTCCAATCTTCTATTCGCCTTTGCTGATGTAATTCATTGTTGYACCATGTGCTCTATTCGAAGTGATGTTTGTAATGAAAGTAATGCAAGTCGCTGGTGGCAACTTTAGCATTGGAACCGCCGTATTCTTTTCATTCCGGTATGTGCTTGCAATTTTGTCCTATCTAGAACGAATGTCTTGGCTTCGCATCCCCTTCACGTCCCATTCTCTCACTTCCATGCTTTCTTTGACGCCTTTCCGTCTTTTGCCGTAGGTTCTTCTACTGGCATATTTTTGCTGACATGGTCTATCTATGTAAGCCCCTATACTTTGTAGACTTCTCGATGTTTCAACTATTATTTGCTCATACCATCTTGACCTTTCTTCGAAAACAGGTACATCGACCATCATCTATCCCTTCAGTGGGACTGAACTGTACTGTGTATGGTTGAGATTTATGGGTGCAACGATTGGGAAAAAGGTTTGTTCAACATCTATCTTCACTTTCATACCAGTTTTCATTTATCGACACTATACGAAATAATGTACTCACCTCCTTCTCTACAATTATAGGTTTTCATATCCCCCGAAAATGGAGGTTTCAGAGAAATTGGTAAGCCGTGCTTCGGACGTTCAGCTGTTTTTGATTTCACACGTGCATATTTGTCTAACTGCTAGAGTGTTGTACGTTGAAGATTTCATGAATATTGGAAATAACTGCGTGATGATGACGCCCAACATTCATGCTCATTACACCGATCATGGAAAGCTTCAGTTCTGCCCGGTGAAGTTGGAAGACGGGTGTGAAATAAACATTGGTGCAACAGTGATGCCTCTGACAACGGTAAGAATATCAAATGCAGAACACTATTACCCGTTTATGCGCTTTTCTAACCAAATGAGTACTATTCTTTTCATAGTATGGGAAGAATTGTCGTCTTCGTCCATTTGCCGTAACGGTGAAAGGTCAACATTGCGAAGAAAACACGTCCTATGAAGGAAACCCCTGCAAAGCTGTAAAGGCACCAAGTGAAAAGGTTGCTGTCTTATTCGCTGGACAAGGCAGTCAATATCCTGGTATGTTGGATTCTCTCACGCACAATGAAGAAGCCAAGAAACTTTTAAAGACTGCATGTGAGCACCTGGATATGAATATTGAAGAGATATGCTCCATTACAGCGGACACAAAAGCTATCGAAAACACTAGAATAGCTCAACCCATTGTATTTGTCGCAGATCTCATGGCGGCTGAAATGATGCGTCAGAAAGCTGCTCTCGATTTCTCGAAGACGATTGCTGTTGCTGGATATTCATTGGGAGAGCTTTCAGCGCTTTGTTTTGCAAAAGCAATCAGTTACAAAGATGCTCTGTCTCTAGTCAAAGTTCGTGCTGATGCGATGGCTTCTTGTAATGGAGGTTCGATGTGCAACCTAAGAGGGGCGTCAAGAAAAGATGCAGATAACCTTGCAAAAAAATTTAAGTGCAAGATTGCCAATATCGTCAGCGATCATCATGACCAAATCGAAAGAAATCTATATGTCATCGCTGGTCCTTCATCATCGATCGATCACTTGATCTCTCATGTGAATGTTGATGTAGAAGGGGGCTTGAGAGCAAAGAAACTTAGGGTCAGCGCCGCTTTTCATACCAATGACATGAAACAAGCTCAACTGAAATTCAAGCAAGCTCTAGAAAATGTCAAGATTTCTTTACCATCGGATGTCCTTGTTTATTCCAATGTTACAGGTCGCCCATACTCATCAGAAGAGGAGATTCGTAGATTGCTTCCATTGCAAATCAGTAGTCCTGTGCAGTGGCATGGGACCGTGCTYGACATGGTTGAAAAAGAAGGAATTTCGAAATTTATTGAGTGTGGACCTATGGATACTCTAAGCAAAATGCTCTCCCTCATTTTTCCCGACATAACGAGTGACAAAATTCTTACAAGTGACGATTGCAATTGAAAGTAAAGATGAGGGAGTCTATTAGAACCATCGATA